CTCAGAATCTCAGAATCTCAGAATCTCAGCAATATCAAAATCTCAACATTTCAGGCATCCAGAATATTAGTATTTTAGAATCTCATAATTTTTGAATTTTTGAATTTTTCAATTTTTGATGTTCTGAATTTCAGTTTTTCAAAAATTTTGGTTTTTTGGAGTTTCGATACTTCTGAACTTACGATCTTCCAAATTACAGAATTGCAGTTCGACACAATTATCCTAATACATCTTATCTGGTTAGATTCTTAGATTCTTAGATTCTTAGATTCTTAGATTCTTAGATTCTTAGATTCTTAGATTCTTAGATTCTTAGATTCTTAGATTCTTAGATTCTTAGATTCTTAGATTCTTAGATTCTTAGATTCTTAGATTCTTAGATTCTTAGATTCTTAGATTCTTAGATTCTTAGATTCTTAGATTCTTAGATTCTTAGATTCTTAGATTCTTAGATTCTTAGATTCTTAGATTCTTAGATTCTTAGATTCTTAGATTCTTAGATTCTTAGATTCTTAGATTCGTAGATTCTTAGATTCTTAGATTCTTAGATTCTTAGATTCTTAGATTCTTAGATTCTTAGATTCTTGGATTCTTAGATTCTTAGATTCTTAGATTCTTAGATTCTTAGATTCTTAGATTCTTAGATTCTTAGGTGCTTAGATTCTTAGATTCTTAGATTCTTAGATTCTTAGATTCTTAGATTCTTAGATTCTTAGATTCTTAGATTCTTAGATGCTTAGATTCTTAGATTCTTAGATTCTTAGATTCTTAGATTCTTAGATTCTTAGATTCTTAGATTCTTAGATTCTTAGATTCTTAGATTCTTAGATTCTTAGATTCTTAGATTCTTAGATTCTTAGGTTCTTAGATTCTTAGATTCTTAGATTCTTAGATTCTTAGATTCTTAGATTCTTAGAGATTCTTGAAGCTCACATGAAGTTGCATCAAATGAAACATCCAATCCAATTGCTCATACTCCGTTTGGATTACTGTAGTTTCTGCGATTCCCTGATTCTCATACTCATCCAAAGCAAGACGGGAATACCCGTCTAGGTCGAAAATGGTGAAATAGAACATGGAAACTTCCTGAAATCATTTTTTTGAAAAAAAAAATTAAAAAATTAAAACTCACATAAATTCTCATGTGCTCCACAAACTCAATAAGTGTCAACCATCGTTTTTCGGGACCATAAAATGGTCCAACACACATTCCAATCTCATGAATTGGTTCTGAAAAATTCAGATTTTCCAAAAAAAAATTCAAATTCAAATTTCCCTCCTCTTACCTTCAAACACTCTGTAGATCAGCGGAATCGGCGGTTTTTCAAAATTTTCGTCATTTTCCAAAGAAATTGACACAAATTTTACTCCGGCTCTCCGCACACAGTATACAGTATTCAATGGGAAAAACGACGACTGCCACGTGGAATTTGGAATTTCAACCTGATTACAGTCGAAATATCGACAGTATGCTGGCTGGCTGGAAATTTGGAGTTTTGGAATATGTTTCTGAAATTAAAGAAGAAATCCTACCCAGTTTTATACTGTATTGTTGTTGTGACGGCGATGAAATCTGAATATAAATAGGCGTTTAGAAGTCGAAGTTCCGATTTGAACATGTTGTCCTGAAAATTGAAAAAAAACACATTTGAAATTTTTTTTGAAGTTTTCTGAAATTTCGAAAACCACATATTTTTGATATCAGATTATTACAGACCGAAAAAATTGCAGACCAGAAAAAATTGAAATCTTTAATGGAAAACTCAAAATTCCAAACTTTCAGAGTGTGAATTTTTAGGATATTCTGTTCTGCATTTTTTTTCAAATTTTTTTTTTGAAAATTTCGACCTACCCTCCGACTCCAGTTTTGTCTCATCCACTCGTCGTGGAATTCACCATTTGGAATGGAATCTGTGTTTTTTAAATTCCAATATACTATGGGACACGAATTTTGGGATCTGGAAATTTTCCGAATTTTAGAAAATCCAATTTTTTGAAATACTTTAATTTCTGAGTTTCTGAGTTTCTGAGGCTCTGAGTTTCTGAGATTCTGAGATTCTGAGATTTTGAAATTCTAAAATTTTGAAATTCTCAAATTCTCCCATTCTCAAATTCTAAAACTCTAAAGTTCTAAAATCCTGAAAAAATCTGAACTTCAATTTTCAGAAAATAACTTACTCTTCTGAATATTTCAAAAAGTTCAGTAAAAAGAAAATCAAAGTGAACATTTTTGAAATTTTCGAATGAGTACCTGATACAGAAAAGGAGACAAATTGAACAAAATGAGAAAAATTCTGGTCGGGAAGTTTAAAAAAGTTATCTGATCTCAAAAATCGAGAATTTCGATTTTTCAGAATGAAAAAAACTCCGAAATATTTTTTTTTTACTTTTTTTGTTTTAAAAAGAATTGAACAGACTTTAGAAATTTAGAATTTTCAGAGGACTATTGGAACCAGATTTTATGAATTTCGAAAATTCTGAAAAACTGAAATTCTGAAATTTGGAAGATCGTAAGTTCAGAAGTATCAAAACTCCAAAAAACCAAAATTTTTGAAAAACTGAAATTCAGAACATCAAAAATTGAAAAATTCAAAAATTCAAAAATTATGAGATTCTAAAATACTAATATTCTGGATGCCTGAAATGTTGAGATTTTGATATTCTGAGATTCTGAGATTCTGAGATTCTGAGATTCTGAGATTCTGAGATTCTGAGATTCTGAGATCCTGAGATTCAGAATTTAGAATTCAGATATTCTAAATCTTCAGGCTTGAGAATTGGTTTTTTTTTCAAGCCTGAAGTTTTTGGGTTACTGTATTTTTCATAAATTCAAGGATTACGTGAGAATGAAAAAAAAATCAATCATTTAGCCACCTGGAAAACGTTGTCCACAATTTTCAGCTATCGAAAACTTTAGAATTTTTTCAGTTACTGATACAAAACGATGATCCAGTATATCATCCTTGGCTATCTCCTTTATGAGGTAAAATTTAGAAATTGTTGATTTTTACAATTTTTGAATTTCTGATCTTCTGAACTTCCAAACTTTCGATTTCTGAAATTCAAAATCGTAAATTCCCATGATTTCCCAAATTTCCAGATCCTCCGTCTCGCCCAACGTCCTGACGTGTCCGCTGTCAAATTCTCAACACCAGACGACTATCCATCGGCTCCAGTTGCTCAGGCTCCGCCCCCACAAGCCACGCCCCCTTCATCGTCTCCAGAAGCGCCAAAATCCGAAGAAACCACAGCAAAATCCGGATAAATTATCTAAATCTGGAAGAGAATGACAAAAAATATTCAGACCAAATATGAATTTCTATTAAATGGGAGATGACTAGATTGATGTGATTTTTTTCTTTAATTTACGTATTGTAATTTTTTTGTAAAAAAAGGATTGATGAAGATTGATTGAAAGATTTTTTCGTATTATTTATTTTTCAGAACACAACCTTTTATTCGGAATCAGCGCAAAATTCCCTTAAAAACCATACTTCTAACGGGCCGCGCCAGGACGGGCTTTTTTCCAAATTTCGGAGGCCCAGCCCGGCCCGCAGGCCCATTATTTTACAAGTTTTGAAAATTTCAAAAAACACACAAGGAGGACCCTTATGTGATTTTTTCGATCAAAAAATTTTTTTCGAGTTTTTTCGATTTTTTTTAAATCAAACAGAGAAACAAACCAAAAAAACGGAAAAAAAATGAAAAAAAAGTATATTAAAGGTGGTGGGACAGGAGATTTTTCGTAGTTTTTTTGTAGCTAGAGTATGCACCGTCACGGTGTACAACGCTTAATGTCACTCTGCGTACAGGGCGACCGCTTTCTCTTTGCCCGTGTAGCTCAGTCGGTAGCGGCGCCGCACCCTCAATCATCGCCCCAACAAGTTCAACTCCTCGAGGGGCATATTTAAACGAAATATCGAAAACATTATTTTTTTCATGTCCCCCCACCTTTAAGAGCTCAAGATTTGGCTCAAAAATACGTAATTTCTATACCGAGCCTTCCGGGCCCGGGCCTTGAAAATTTCTCCAGGCGTGACCCGGGCCGGCCCGGGATTTTACAAGTATGTTAAAAATGAGTATAAACAAGTCATTTTTTGGAAAATTGCGAAATTTTCGTAAAAGGAGTTTTGGATGCAAACTTTTTTTTTGAAATCATATTTTTAAAAGTTTTTTTTAATGAATATCAACTTTTAGGGATTTTCTAATACGCCGACATCAAAAATTGCATTAATTCACTATCAAATTCCTCAGAATATACTTTTTTAATTTTGAAATTTGGCACAAAAAATATGTTTCGACTTCTTTTGACCTAGTTTCCCCTCTAATTAAATTATTTTCCCTTTTCTTTTGTCTCTTCTTTTTCGAAACTTTTTTCTTTTTCAACTTGAGGACTTCAAGTCAAACAGCCTTGTAAAACAGCTCATAAAACAAAATGACACATGTTTTACGAGCGGAGCAAGAGGAATTACTCCTAGAAGAGAAAAAAAAAGATAAATTTCGTATCTTTTTTCATTTATCACTTGAACTGTAGGTGAATCAAATTGAGGATTTTTGGAATTCTGAATTTCAGAATTTTCAGATTCTCCTAATAAAATTCGAGTTTTTTCAGGGAATTTTTCAGATTCAGGTTTTGATTTTGATTTTTCAAACTCTGGATTGGAAATTGATAATATTTGAAAATTTAATATTTTTCTCAACAGTATTTTTTTGAAGAATTCGCTAATTTCTGTAGATTTCTAGAAAATTCGAGAGATAGAATTTCAACTGTTTTTCGATTTTTCAAAAGATTTCTTGTCCTTTATGCTTCCAAACTTTAATAATCCAAAAAGTTCCAAAAAAAAGGCTCAAAATTTGTGAAAATTCCATGCGCCTTTAAGCTGTCCAGAATTTTTGCAAATAATTGATTTTAGCCTTTTGGTTTTATTTGAATTTTTGGCTCTTTTCTAGTTTAGAGGTCCCAAAAAAGTTTAGAGGTCCCAAGAAAAAATAAAGGTCCGATATTTGAAAAACGCGCAGGTATTAGAATAATGTGCCAGAAGTTGGAGTTTTGAGTTTTGAGGCTCTCTAGGAAGATGAGAGCGGAAATGTGACTTCTCTTGATAGTTTTGTTTCCACTTCTTTTTTGTCTTTCTTATGGACCCCAATTTACATATAGGCAAAATGTCAGCAAACAGTAATGCCTCCGTGAATAAGCTTTCTCTCAGGCTTAGATAATTTTCAGAAAATATGCATCTCTAAGCCTATTAGAAGTATAAAATATATCATCAACACTTATTTTTTTTAAATAATACCACAGAATTTTAATTTCTTACACAGTTCAAATTCTATTACACTGTTCCAATATCTGTGCGTTATACTTCTAATAGGCTTAGAGATGCATATTTTCTGAAAATTATCTAAGCTTGAGAGAAAGCTTATTCACGGAGGCATTACTGTATGCCGACATTTTGCTTATATGTAAATTGGGGTCCATAAGAAAGACAAAAAAGAAGTGGAAACAAAACTATCAAGAGAAGTCACATTTCCGCTCTCATCTTCCTAGAGAGCCTCAAAACTCAAAACTCCAACTTCTGGCACATTATTCTAATACCTGCGCGTTTTTCAAATATCGGACCTCTATTTTGTTTTGGAACCTCTAATCTTTTTTTGGACCTCTAAACTAAGAGCCGAATTTGTTTAGACTTTTTAATAGTTTTTTGGTGAAAATAGCAAAAATTAAAAAAAAACAATGAAAAACATCTGAAAAGTTACGGAAATTCGTAACAAATTTTATTTCCGAATTTCCGTTCCGCCTACCCTATCCCCCTATGCCCCTCTCGACCCATCAAAAAGTCATCCAACACGTGTCTCAATTTTGTCATTTCCTTGTCCTTGTCCCTTTTGTCTCTTTTCTTCGGACACTCATAAACTCGTAAAACATCCGGTTGTCCCGTTGGAGAAAACGTAAAACGTCGAGGAATTTGATACTAAATGTCTTCTAGGAGGTCGTGTGTATCATTTGGCTCCGCGGAGCCAAATGATACACATTCAAAAACTTATGTTATGGTTTATGTACTCACTGCTTTAAAATTGAGGGATATAGAAAGGTGAGAGGATCGGGAAAAAATTCAGTGTGTTTGAATTTTTTGCTTTTGAATGGAAAAAGATTCCTGGATTTTTTGTTTTCAGAGTCTTTAAATTTTTTTGTTAATTCGAATTGAGAAAGTATTAATTAAAATTAAACTTCCATTGAACTTTCCTCAGTTAGGTACTCACTTTTTTGAAATTCTTTTGCACAGTGGTCCTGGACATAATAAGTTTAGATAATGTTGAAAAAGGCTTTTCTGACCATTTTTACATTAAATTAAAGTAATTTTTTGAGCTGATTCAAGAGATTTTTTCTCACAGTTGATAAATCTTGTGGATAGCCGGATTATCATAGCGTCTGTACCCAATCACGACTCTGACTGACCTCCCAGTATCTAAATTCACTTGCCAACATCCCATTATGTATGTTCCATGCCCGTTTCTCTCAAAATTTTCGAAGAATACCGATAACTTGGGTCATTTTTACAAAAATACCTAAAAATGAGGAAAATCGATAAATTCGAAAGTCAACAAAGTCTGAAAATCTACCCAAAATGCTCGAATTCGAAAGTTATTTTCATTTTAAAAGCGAAAATTTGACAAAAATATTTTTCAACATTTCGAAAATTTCTTGGTGGTCCTAAACTTATTGGACTCCTGAAAAAGTGTCTTTTTAGTGGTACTCGAGAACCAAAAATGGTACGATACCCAAAACTTGGTTTTCGGGGTTATTTCACATTTGGAATCGAACTGCAATCACAGATAACTTTTCTAGTTTTGGGCAGACGGCCAAAACATAGGGGGTGC